TATCAGCTTATAATAAAACAGAAAGAAGTTACTGCTATCTGTTCCGTCAGTGTCAATATAGGAATACAATAAGCATGCTTTCATGGAAGGCTACTAAAATGGCAAATTCCAATCCAGACATGCATTACTATGAAATTTGATCTGAACTTTCTCATTGTGCTAGCCTGCCTCTCTTAAAGAATTTAGGAGCCATTCCCCTGCCCCCTCATCTAGTCAGCTGTACATATGGCATACAGTGCTTGTCTGCCTGGGCAAGAAGAATAAGCATAACAATGCTTTCTGCTTAACAAAACTTGACCAAAAAATGACTGATTTACTCTGCTTCTGAAAAATGTGACCCATTTATAATGCCCTCTCAAAGGCTAGACGCCCACCAAACTCAGCTATCTACCCCTGTAGGCTTGGCTGTGAATTGCACTGGATTTAGGTGCCAAAATACTTTATAACTCGTCTCCCATTGATTTAGGCCAAATGCAAACAAGTCAAATACTCAACTTTTTCATCCTTTCTGTGTCTTAACTTTTTTCCAGCATTGAAGAGAGATGAGCAAAAGATCACTATAGAGGAAAAGATCCTTAAGAACAACTGCAATTTAAGAGTGTCATGTAGTCCACAGAAACCTAGGCTGCTCAAAAGAATTCACAGACATTATGGAAAACACAGCATCTGTCTTAGTGCTCTTTGGGGAAAAAGAAGCTCCTACAAATATTACAGCAATATTTAGAGAAATAAAATGGACCTGGACAGTCATTCTTCACAGCATGAGAGAGACTTAAATGAAAGGGAGATGCAATGGATGCTAAATTGGATAAATTAACAAAACGTGTGCATGCAACAGGGGAAGAAATAAGTAACACTGAAGAAAGGGAAGACAAAACAAAGAGATCTATGAACTGAGACAGAGTGTTGATTTTTAATGTTGAACAAAGCAGGAAATTTAGAAAACAGAAGCCATTGTACTCTTGTTAAAATTGAAAGTATAGAATTGGACAATGTGATGCTTTTTGTTCAAATCTCGTTCAATTACCTTTTTGAGAATAATAAAAAAACCTCATCACATAGTCTAAAGGACCAAATCTAAGTTCTTCTGAGACCTGACAATAGTGTTGAGATTCCAAGATAAAGACTATATTAATCAAATCAGGTAATACTGATATGGGGCAAGAGTCTCTGGCAATCAAGATAAGCAATTGCTCTGTACCTAAATCTGAGTATCAAAATCCTATAAACACAGAAGAATAAAACTCTTTCAGAGATTCATTGGTAGGAAGAAGACTAGAGCATGCAGAGATGTATTAAACTATTAAAAAACCAAAGAAGGTCTTCCAATTCTTCTCAAGATTTTTGAAAATATGCAGAATATTAACTAATCTCTTTCAGATCATCAAATCAGTTTGATACCTTTGAAATAAACATTGACATTTAAGGCAGTGTTTAAGAAAAAATTGTATATTCAGTGTGTATCTCAGTGTGTACTGAGATAGGTGATTGTCTCTTCTTTAGGAGTTATGTATCTGCTGAAAGTGTATTTTTCAAGCAAGGATTACTGGTTGACATAATTATACATTCCTCATTCTTCTTTGTTTATTTGTTTGTTTGTTGTTTTGGTTTGGTTTTTGTTTACTTTTGGGTTTGTTTTTTCTTGCTGTGAATAGCATATTGACTTTGAGAAAATACTTCTCTGCTCACAGGTTTGAGGGCTGAGCTGGGGAGGCGGCAGGATTTAAGGTAATTTCTGAGAAAGACTTCAGGAAAAAAATTGTATTTTCTCTGACAGTTCTCTAAATAGAGACATTTCTTGAAGAAAAGTTGCTTTTTAGACACCTGGCATTATCATTTTGAAATGATAGTAATTCTATCCTGTGTCAAGTTGCTGTTGTACTTGATTTAATGACTGCTCCATGTAACTAAAGGAAAACAAGGTATATGAAGGAAATACTGGTCCTGCAGTTCTGATTTATCCTCCAGTGGGAATCCTCTCTGTAAGATCCCAGCATTGACAACTACTCAGGTGGCAGGAGAGTCAAATAAAGACTTTGAAATATAGATGAGTCATTTACTGGGGAAGTATTTGCTGTCTCACAGAGCATGGCCTGAAGATAAATTGTCCATTCAGGTGTGGAACAGTAAAGGACAACCTTTCAGACCCCCTTATGTGCTTAGTACAACCTACCTGAATACAGTCTCCTCAGTGCCTACATCAGTGTCCCCTTGGGTCTGCTGCAGCACAGCTCTGTTTGGTTCTGTCCAATCTTGACTTCAGGATTGTTGCCTTGCTTATTGTTATCTCTCCTGTCCAAAATCCATTCTTAGAATTTCCTCTTTCCCCATGTCTCATAAATTGGTATTTTCAAATTTCTAGTGACTATGCGTTTGATAAGATAATCAGCCTCTACTATCAGTTGTTAGACTCTTTCATGATCTTGGTATTTCTTTACTCATCTTAATTTCTGTGTCTGGCTGTAGACAATCTAAAATCTTCAAATACTCAATGGACAAAAACCTCTCTTTAATGTTCACCTGTTTGCCATCCTACTGATGCAAAGGAATCATCACAATTTTGTGCTTTTCTCATTTGTTTCTTCTTATTCTTCAAAACCAAATCTAGTCACTGAATTAATGTGTAGGAACCTGGATTGTACCTAACCAACTCTATCAAAAGATAAAACACTTTCCCCTTTCCTTAGCCTACCTCCTTATATGGCACTAAACTGTTAGAATACTATACTAGCATGTGACATTCAAAGAAAAATAGATTTCCAATACTACACTGTACACTGCAGTCATGACCAGACCTCCAGGGTTTCAGCTGCCCTGAAGGGTAAACTGAACTATGCTGGTTTGGGACTTCTGTATTTTAAAGGTGGATTTGCCACTGCTTTACTGTGAACTTCATCAGAGTTTCCTAGCCTACTACTTCTCATATCATGCTGGGGAGGATCACATTGCAGATGGCTTCAGGCGAACATCTTTGGCCAAGTGAAAACACTTTCCCCTCTTCTCATTTTTGATATAAGCTTGCCAAAAAAAACAGTAATGCAATTTCTAAAGCTAATGTTTTATTTAAAGAACAACAAAAACAACCAAACTACAGTAAAAATAATTCATTAAATAGGGGAAGACCCAGAAGAACTGAGTGAGACAGATTGAAGATGTTTGGAAACAGATGAACCTCCTAGCCCTTATGTTCTTGAAGTGTTTACCTTTTTTCCATATTGCATTGAAAATCAGTATTTTTCAGTTCAAGTAAAGCTCTAGTTTGTCTCACTACAGATCACCCTTTTGACTTTTCAGGAAAGTCTTACCTGGAACTCCTGAGACCTGATTTGGGACTGCTTCCCTTTTTAGACAGGGCACTTTTTTTGAACATACCATTTTCTCTCTGCCAGTACCAACACTCCAGAAAGTTCTCCAGAACCCATCAAGCTGATTCGGGCTACTATGGAAGTAATCTTTCTTTTCATCCTGCTTTTCAGGAGAAAATGCCTCAGCAAGCTCATTGGCTCAGATAAGGTAAACAGAACACTTTCTTAGTCCTTGCACAACCGCACAACCTTTTTACACAATAAAAATGAGACAGCATCCAATGCAATATAAAATTCTTAAATTACATTGAAATAATTGCCTAGCACTGTCTGAAATTTCTATCTTGAGAGTCTGTATCACTCGAAGTCACACCTTTTTCCTCAGCCTCTTTCCTCCTTCCTGGAAAGCTCTCCAGGAGAGAGCTTTGCTCCTTTTCTGTGTTGAGTAGAAGCAGCCTTGTGATTGCTGTTGATTCTCACTCATCTCATGCTGTTTGTCTGGTTTTTAGGGCTATCTGTGCTGTCACTTGTTGTCAATGTCCCTCTGTTCCTTTTCTGGCTTTCATTGATGTCATTCTGTTCTTCACTTTGTCAAGGTGATCTTCACTCTCTCAGTGAGCTGAGCTCTCCCTGCCATTTGGAGACCTTCCACTAGAATTATGATTTTCTGCCCACCCAAAACCTGAGAATCATCTGCCCTCTGTACGAGCTTCCCTTTTGACCTGACTTTTTGAAATCCCAGGAGCTGCATGTGGATGCCAGAAATCTGACTTCTACAATGTAAATATTTGCTTGAAGATCTATGTTACACTCACACCCATGAAAGAAGTTGACAGAAGATGAGACTAGCTATGAACAGCTCTATGCATTGTTACGTAATATGAAAAATAGTTAATTTAAAAATTAGTCTAAATTCAAGTCACACTATTGACTTTAAACTTGCATACTTCAAATTCCCATCTGTAAGCTGCTTGTTGCATAATATTCTCTTCTGAACTCTTCTGGTTTTGTGCAGGAAAGTGGATTCCTATCTGAGAGGTATTTTGATGATGCAGGAAGGTTTCCTATAGTAATGCTCCCAAGGGAAAAAAAACAATTACTTAGTGTTTGGTTTGTTCAGTATATACATAGCTTTATATACAGTGCTTGGTTTATTCAGTACATGTTGCAACCTGAGTTGGTTTCCTCCTGAGTTGTGCCCACCCTTCCAGCTGTCCCTCAAGGTGTCCCCTCCCCTTGTTCCAGACCCTTCTCTGCCTGTCAAGGCAACCCGGCCCCTTCTGCCCTGCCTGTCAAGGCAACCCTGCCCCTTGTTCTGGAAAATTCCCTGCCATTCATTCCCTGAACCAATCCCTAACTGAGCCCTCTCTCCTCCCCCCATCATAACTGGTTGTTACCCTGAAACCCCACCGCCAGTGCTACCCCATTGGCTGTCCTGTTAAATCCACCCCTTGCTTTGTGACACTTTATAAACCCATGCACGAAGATGCTTGGGGTTCTTGTCCTGGCCCTTGAACCTTGTTGGAGTGGTGTCAGCTGTCTCTGCATCCTGACTCCTTCAGTAAGCTGATTGGAACTTAAAGACCTGGAGAATCTCCTCTGCCTTCTTTACCCAGGCCCTGCCTTGCTGCCTTGGAGCGTTGCTTCTCAGGTTAGAGCTGTGAGAGTTCTCAGGTTCCTCAGGTTCTGTCTGTGCCTTTGCCCCAGCCAGGGCAGTTCCCGCTCTTGTCACTGCTCAGGAACATCGGAGGTATCCCAGGCTCTGGTAGGTGGTGGTGAGTATATATGTAGCTTTGGGCCATAGGTAAAAAGAGAAAAATAAATAAATATTGAATTTTTTTTAAATGAGCACTGTCCAGCCTATGTAGAGAAGGAGGCAAGAATTTTGTGAAAAGCTCGGATAGATAGTGGTCAAGGAACTAAATATGTTATTTTCAATATGTTGATATGTAAATATGTTATGTCAATAATGACAACTAATACACCAGGAACTGAACAGAGTCTGTCCAGTCCGCTGTAACTGTGGCATTGCCTAATGTGAAGAGGAATTACTTAAAACTTTGGTAAAGTTGTTTTAACACAAGTTTTGTGTAAAAAATCAGAAATACATGAGTGGCATGAAGAGGGCTGGTTTTCCTCATGTGGAGTTGGTCTGTTAATAATCCATGATAACATTAAAAACTCATCCTATGGCCAGCTATAAAAATAATGTTGGAGTAACTGCTCATAATATTACAACTGAAGTTAATACCTCTTGAAGAAATCAATTCAGGCTGTATTATCATTTTGACAGTGACTGTTTTTGGCTTTCATGTTCTACCTTTCATCATTTTATGAGAACTAATCCTATTTGTAAAACAAATTGCAAATATTATGGCATTTTGATTGTTACTATGTGCAGTAATTGCTGACATATATAAACTTATATACAGCAGATATTGCATCTTGATGAGACCAAAAATACATGATCCACACATTCATCCTTACTAAGCTCCTTAAAATTTAAGAAAGAACAAGCTATTTTTACTAACTGCTTGTTTAGAAATAGTTATTAAACTATTTATGGGCTCTTATTTCTCACCATTACTTTTCAATTTTTGAAAATAATTATTTTGTAATATTCAAATAACTTTTTAAGAGTTTGTGTGGAAAAGGAAAGCATTTAACTCCTCTGGGAACTATTCTCTGTCTCCACAGAGCTGGATGACATTTCCTGTCCCAATTTTAATCTGTATTAATAGGAATTATCTCCAAATCCTTCTGTCAGGTTGGCACATACACTCTAAAACAGCACAATAAACTGGATCAGAAAAATCTATATCAAGATCTAAAACTACATGAAATATTCTACTAGATTATACTTGACTGGAAAACAACTAAATTTCATGGTTCATTTGCAGCCATTACTGTAGAAATTATTTGAATGGGAATACATATACAACTAAATTAAGCTGGGTTTGGTCCATTATGATAGTAATTCATGTTGAGAAATTAAGTTATTTTCATATTTAGAGTCAACAATGAATGTTTTAAATCAAATTATTTGGGCGCATTGTTACTAAATATACTGACTATTTAGAAGGAAGAACATTGGTAAAAGACTAATCAATAGGCATTCTAATTATGTCAGTAAAATATCAAAATAAGCTTCACAATTTGAGACAATTACTTTAGAATTAGTGAACCTTTCCTCCTCTTTGCAAAAAAAAAAATATATGTAGTATCAATATGCTTGCCAGCTAATCTAAGTATTGCCAGTGTGCCAGTAAATGTCAGTAAATGTATGACTCAAGTAAAATTTAGGCTACATGGAAAGTTCTAAAAGTGAACCCACAGAGAGACAGAGAGAAAAAATATTTACAATGAAGAGTTTGTTCTTCACTGAGTTATAAAAAAAGCTGTATAAATTTTTGACAAGAAGACATTTGAATTAAAAGACCTAGGTAAGAGCAAAAATATAAAGCTAAGTAGTTACTGTCATATATGGAAAATGGAATTCAAGCACAAAATTTTATTAGTATGCATATATCACAAATGGAGTTCTGTAGTGTAAATTGTTATAGCTGTGCTAGAAAGTCAGAACATTTTGGTGCATTACAAATTTTATTCCTTGAGGTGATTTTTGTCCATATAGTTACTGAAATATTGGCAGGACAGACCTAGCCATATAATTATTTAGAACCTTAGCAGCAGGCAACCACAATAAACCATTGTAAAGACTTCTGTAATTATACTCTCCTTGATACCCAGAATGAGATAACAAAGAAAACAAAACCACCTCTGAGTCGGAAGGTGAAAATTAATGAAATCCACTTTGTCAAAGTGTGAAAATTTGCGTCATGAGAAACACAGAAGTTATAATGTTGTTTATTGAAAATCCTTGTTCAATCAGAATACTGTGAGTTTGTAAAGGCAAATGTAAGCATAAAATGTACTGCTCACATCTATACTATTCATCTACAGGGTGAATATTCACCCTGCCTTCCCTAACCTCCGGGGTGCATTCTCAGCTGATGTGAATCTAGATAGCTCTTTGTTTACTCCAAGTTCTCCTCATTAGAGCCTCCATAATCCTCATCAGTAATTTCCAGTGTCATTCCCAGAATAATAGGCAGTGCTATGGGCATCCATTTTACAAGCACTTGAAGTGAAATTTATATTAGTGTAAATGTCCAGCACACTCTTCTTTGCAGGGTTCAGTTTCTTTCTAAGCCCTTGGAAGCAAAAAGGATGAGACAAAACAGGAACATGCCCAGAAAAAAAAATTATCTTTTTCTGTTAGTGGATGTTGAAAGCCACAAAGAAGGTAAGCCAAGAACAAAATGTAAGGATCAGCTGTGCAGACTGTAGATATTGGTTGGAAGGATTCTGCTTCCCAAAGCCCTCAAAGCTTTAGACAATGATTTTATGCAGATGGAGCATATTTCACCCAAGGGGAGAAGCCAGTGCAATGCATGGCTTTTCAAAGAGTATGCATCAGCTTTGCAAACTAAATATCGTTTATCAATTATTAACATTCAGGAAAAGGTGACTAAAGTCTATCTGTGATGCTATAGTGAAATTAGATGAGAACTCAAAAAGCACTTAGGATAAATAATAGATGATTAACATGTCATATAAATCAGTGTATCATGTTATTTTAATTTGTTTGCTTTTTCTCCTTTTTTTTTTATTCTTAGCTTATATCCTTACTCATTTCATAATAATGTTAAATTTCATTCTCTTATGTATTAGGGGTAATTTTTGTTTTATTTATGGGTTATGGTAGAGTATAGAAATTAATAAGAAAATTGCTAAGTGTTGTAGTAGTGTATCATTCTACTGCTGACATTTAAAAACTGAAGAGCTGTATGTTAGACCTGCCTTTTCCTTATGGGTACCTGAGACTGTTCAATTAATAAAAATGTGTGCAATAAATCTATTAACTTAATTAAATATCTACAAATAAATATTAAAGTACGATTTAATAGACTTTTAAGAACAGGATAGAGAATAATAATAGCAATAGTTAATAATGATATTCAGCATCTCAGGAGGGGTTTATGGTTCTTTCTTGAAGATGGATATATATTTTTGATGATTTAACACCATATACAGTTAAAGTTTTATTTCATAGATCTGTCATTTTTCCCTTGCTTATCTTCTCTCTTACCTGCCCTATCATCCATAGCTGGAGGTCAGTTTTTTTCTCTTTTCTGTGATGAAACCCTTGTTGACAATCCTAAAAGAGGAATGTATGGATACCTAACCATGTAAGTGCCTTCCCAGCGAGAAGCAGAACCCTGGCAACAGCACAGTACAGAGCAGCACAGGTCTCTCAGTGGCTTCCAAATATCCAGTGGCTACCAAATGTAGTTTGCTATTACAGGTGTGCAGACCTAGACTTTTAACAGTTAAAACTTCCTGCTGACATACAGTTGTGACACTCTGTGATGCTAGAATTTAGGATTCTTTTCTGCTATGGTACTTGATTCTAAGTGGCTGTGGGTAACATGTAGGCAGATGTTCTGGTGCCTACACTATTCCTTTCCCAGCCTTAATAAGTGGCTCATGGGAGCTAAAGTCTGCCGTGGAAGAAAACTAAAGCATTCAACATGTGGATTACCTTCCTCGTGAGCCTCTATGATTGTATTTTGTAGCCAATTTTTTTTTCCAGCTAACAGCTCCTAGGAAAAAATGTGCCGATAATAAAATGCAAACATGTCAGTGTTTATTTTTGTCAAATATATATATATATGTAATTTGGAGGAGGAAAAATCAGTTATGTAACAGAAATACTCTATGAAATTGAAATAAATAGTCTGCACCTATCCTCAGTGGTGTCATAAACCACCCTTTCTGAGTTTTGGAAGAAGTTTTATTTTTCTTTCACTATGCTGTCTTCTATACATCTGTTTCCAAGGGGAGGATGTTTGGTTTTCTCATGATGCTGTACTGTATTTTTATTTGTTTGTTTCTTATTGGCAGGATGTAAACAGAGGAGGAGTTTCTTAGATGAACCAGACCATGGTTCAAACATCACACAGTAACTGATTTTGTACATCTTTTCTTTGTCTGTGCATTCTATTAAATGTTCAGGCTGCATTAGTGCCCAAGATTTTCAGTGTATGTGAAAGAAATCTATCCTGATAAAACTTTAATCTCAGGCATGATGGACATATACCTGTTCTTTGACAGAATGAATTTCATTTATATATGAAGTGTGTTTATGTATCAATATACAATTTTTGTAGGCATGTCTACTAAATATTAAAAGCTTAAAACATACTGTGGTTAATGAAGCATATAAAAATCTGTATGGCCTTTTAAACTGAAAGAAAAGTTGCAAAATTCTTAATTTGACATGAATGAGATCATTGATGTGTAATGAACTTTAAATAATATAAAGTTCAGGTCCAGCTTTTTAGCATCATACAGATGAGAAAAGAAAAGGATACAGTTGTGCTCTAGTTTTTCAGTGACTGAGAACCAGGATAGGATTCAGAATTTGTCTTTATAGCTCTCCATTACTTGCAATTAAATGCTCCTAATTTGGGAGCTGTGCAGAATGTAGCCCAGAGTATGACTCCTGACTTGGTATTCATCTTCATAAGACTAATGCAAAGCCCTAATATAAAGCTTTGTTGGTATGTGAGGTTCCCGTTTCAAAAGGGCAAAATTGAAAAATAGCACCTACCTGATCATCAGTTGACACCTTGATGGACAAAAGCCAGGCAATTGATTACAAACCTCCTGTATCCCATGGTACAAACAATATGAAAGTTC